GTATCCGTCTGCGTCATGTCCCTGTACAGTCTTTTACTTTGCACCCGGACAAGAATGGGGACGTCCATTACCTACATGCACGCGGTATATTACTGTTTTTTTATTTTATTTTTTATTACAATTATTTTTAACAATACAAAAAAGTAAAGACTCATTTTGTTTATCTTATGATAGTATTCGATTAACAATTTCTAATCAAGTCCATATGTATATAATTCACTTTTAATGCCTATGATTGAAAGAACCCCACTAATTCCACTCGTCCACTTTCATACATCCGTAAAGTTTGTAATGACTTACATTGTATAGGTGTTTGATCTAGGTATGTGTACATGTAAGTGACATAAAAAGAGTTACACATATATTCCGGAAAATCTGTCCAGATTATTTTCTAGTTTTCTAGTTGTGTCTAACCATGTGCGTTTACTATTCAGGTGTTGGACAGGATTTATAATATTCCGAATCATCAGAAGTTAATTGCTTACATGCCAATATTCAAAATTAAAATGGAGAAATATTTGTTGGCATTTCGGCATTATTTATAGACACCAGAAAATATCTATTACCGGAATGTGATCGGTACAATTGAGTACGGGGCCAAACACCTTCCCTCAACCATGGGACAAACCTTTCTGTAAAAATGGAATATTCACGAGACGAATATCCTTTTTCAAATGATTTCATAAAGCGTATATATGCATTGACAAGTATAAAAAAGAGATTTTGTGATTTTTTTTTATTTCAACTCAATGTCTTTGGCCTTTTTTTTATAGACCGTTCATTTTATATACTCATGTATAATCCCTTTCCCACTTCCACTGTTTTCATGCTTAACACTTAGTAAGTCATATAAGTCACCATACACAATAAACATTTCTGGTAAAACCACTACGTGTACATGTATAATATGTGTTAGATATGCAACATGTTGAGATACTTGATAATTATATGTTTTCAATACTGTATAGAGATCAAGCAAACTTGTAAATGGACCCTCTTTTATTTTGAAATAACTGTTCCTTATTCAACTCCATTTGTCCGAAGCAAAAGCCGAAGTTATCGGCCGTACGCGCCATTTTTAAAGTGTAAACAAATGACTTTTTCACCGTTTTTTAATGCGAATTTCGATTCTATCTGATGTCGAAAATTAGTTATTTATAGACAAAAGTTATTGCATTATCGTAAATTCTACTGAATTAAAGCATACCATTTTACTGGACCCGGAATAGTATAAATTATGTAAATCTTGTTGTGGAGCGGTAGTCAATACACAGTGAACTATCTAAGTGGTCGTTAAAACTTGAAATATATTTTTCAAGCCAATTTAACCAGACGCCATCTTGGAAATGGGCATCCCCGTTTGCCTACCAAAATGGCAGGATAAGTAAGCTTACTAAGTAGACAAACTACGGGAGACAACCCAGTCTATACACTTGAAGTTGGCCCTCTCTTTTCTGGACAAATGTCACCGTCTGAAATCATCTCATCATTTGTTTTTTTTTCCTTTTTCTTTTTTCTTTTTAGAATAATGTTAACCAAATAGCGCACGTATCTCGTGTGACCCCGAGTACCGACAGAGGAGAGAACAGAATACGCCATCACAACAGTTATCCCCTGGAGGGCCTCATAGCAAAATCAAACTAACCAGTCACCTATATACCAGTCTTGCGCATGAACTCTACTATTATAGAAAAACAAAGTAAACTGTCATTGATACATGTCCATTTACAAAACAAAATAACTTCATCTGTGTTCCAACTTAGACAAAGATACTAGTGAGGTCAATATTCTAAAATATGTATAAGTCATAAAATAAACAGCATTTCTGTTGATTCCATTTCAGCTTTATTAGTTATTATCAGTTATTTTCTCCTTTGGATACTTCCCACCTGCAATAATGCTTCCGTAACGTACTCCTTGCGTTATATTTGGACCATTTGGCAATGTTTCGCTTCGTGTCTGATGCGGTGACGATTTTCACCTGCTGCACTTCCCACGGCCAGTCATTTTATTTACAATGAAATAGCGTGCTTTGCGCATGCGTTAGTAGGGGGAAATCCCACAGCAAATCGTTCGTCATACAGGTAGAAAACCCGATGATTATCCTGATTATTTTTTTTTGATTTTTTTTTAATATATATCAGCCAGATCTGACCGTTATTTTCCATAAGGAGACTCACTTGATATGTTTATGTAGTATTTTAAAAAAAAATGAAAAAAAATATGCTTCACCGTTATGTGTCCCTTTAAAATAAAACCTGCGAAATATATTACTAATACATTGTACATCGCTGTGACAAAAGGGATCCTCAAACTGGATCCGTATCCGTTCTACTGTGATAGTTGTTCTCTCAGTTATGCTAAAAAGACTATAAAATAAATACTGTAATATTAGTAATTAACAAATCAATCCGATAAAAACAAAAACAATACGTATTGGAATTTTCCGCCATTTCATTATTTGTCTAGAAACTCCCCAAATGCGTGACATGTGACAGAGCTGTCCGGCGTAATACATCTGTGATAGGAACTCTAACCTTTATACGTGGTGACGTAACACTATTTTTGTAGTTTGACGTCAGAATGAGAACATTAAATGACCTCTCGCTGCTTAAAACGGATCAGGTTTATGTAGTATTTTAGCTATGCGTTCTAATATAGGTTATACAAATGCTGGTGTTCCTCAGAGACGTGTGTAAGGTCCTTTGTTATTTTTGATATATATATATAAATGATATAGCTGATAATTTGAATAGTATTTCACGCTTAATTTCTGATGATACCTCTTTGATGTACTATTCGTTTTCTTATGCTGATATTGGAAGGTGCGTGGACAGAGATTTGGAAAAAATCTTGATAAATGGTCACGGGATTGACTTACTAATTTTAAACCACAGAAAACTGATGTGTTATTCATATCAACATGTAATTTAAGAAAAAATACAACCATATGCATGAAAATGGTATCATTATTTAGAAAGTTTAAATTTTCGTTAAATAAGTAAAGTTTGTTAAGAATATATAAAGTATTTGTGTTGCCTGTGAAGTTTGGGATGGTTGTTCTCTGGCAGATCTAATTAAACTTGAACAAGCTCAGCTTGAAGGAGAAAGAATTATTACTGGTCTGCCCTCTTTTTCTAGTAAACAATCATTGTATCAAGAATCCCAACTTGAACCTCTATCTGTAAGAAGAAAACTTAAGAAACTTTCCCTATTGTACAAACTCAACTATAAACTAACACCTTCTTATTTAACTAACCTTCTTCCCCCTAAAGTATACGAACGCAATAGCTACAACGTGAGAAATACTGAAAACTACACTGTTCCCAAATTCCGACTTTCTAGTTCATTCCAATATTTCATCCCTTCATCTATAAGACTATGGAACGATTAACGCAATTTTATGAAAACATTTTAAATAAAAAGAAAAGAAAAAGATTAAGCAATACTGTCAGAGAACAGCCATCCGTTCATTGATTCAGTGTAACCATGGTTATTTGTTGCCTAATGTTTTTCGTGTTGGAAATCGTCAACTAAATATTGAACATGCAAGGTTGCGTCATTCATGTAGTAGTTTGAAGTATGAATTGTATAGAGTTAATAGTATAGGTGATCCAATGTGTGTAAGTGGAATGAGTGTGAATGTATACTGTATACAAGACTAAGACAAATTCTGATTGATGATATCTCACTTTATTGTAATATTTCTCTCAATGTTATTTTTTACGGTTCTCCAAACCTGTCTGATGAAGACAATGAAAATATTTTCCATATAATTAAAACCTACATTAAAAATAGTGAAAGGTTTTAAGATCAGCATGATTTACAAATTGATAGCTGGCACGTAATGATAATAATAATTCGAGGTTCTTTATATACCGCTTTATCACAACCTAGTTCGTAGGTCGTCTCAAAGAGGTTCACAGATTATTATCCGTGGTTATAGCGCCTTTGCAACCAGCCAATATCTTTTTCAACTCCCTGGGGAGCAGACAGCCGGAGCTGCCATTTCGTTGCTAACAGCTAGCATTCAACAATTCTAGCACTGCCCGACCACGTACTCATTCACAGCTGAGTAGACTGGAACAAGCGGAGTAAAGTATCTTGCTCAAAGATACAACACAGTGCCGTGCCGTGACTCGAACACGCAAACCTTCGGTCACAAGCCCGGCGTCCTACCACTAGACTACCGTGCCTCCGTAACATCTCTCTTTCTTTTTCTTATTCTTTCTTCCTTTCCCTTCCTTTCCTCTTTGTTGATATAGCTATTTTTAAAATATATTTGTTGTTGATGTCATGTAATTTATAAAATAAAATGTATTAAAGGATGCGTTTCTAAGTTGAGATAACTTGTGCATAATCTTTTTTGTTGAATGACAAATAAAATATGTTTAAATCACAAAAAATATTATAGCTGCGCGATTGGGGCGACATTATCAAGTTTTCTTATACATTATTCAAATCTATTAATTTCTTCAAATACGAGTCTTGAAAATAGTAAAATGTTTTGGGTTTTGTTAATAAATGAAATTAAATAATCATTTGTAATCGGATGCGAAGTATATGTGAATTATATTGATACTTCAGTTTGATCAAATATGTGTATTTGAGCACAAATGTAGTTGTTTGTCTTTCGACTCAAGAAAATCTATGAATCACAATAATTTTTAATCGGGTGTATACCACGTCACAATTTCATTGATGAATCCTTATACAAATATATGAGTTGGAGCACATGTCCGTTATTTTTTAAGTCGGTTTTGTACTTTAGTACGTTTGATAATGAGATGTGTTTCATCACTAGGGTGTGATTGGCCATTTGTTGTAATGACAGACGTGGTTTTCAGAACACACGTCCATTAACGTATTTCGTGGAAGTGAAGTACGTTGTATTTAGATTTATTTAACTAAGTTTTAAGTTAAGAGAACAAGAAATTCATCAACGTCTGAAGCGTATTTTAAGTAAATGACATGTTGTAATACTAATTATTCCATTTCAGCTACAGATTGTGGGGAGGTGACGTCACAGCATGTTGGCTGTCGTCTGCCTGCTAACGGCACTCTCTACGACCAACGCTAAATCCGCAGCCGCATCCTACTTCGACAATCAAGGTATCTTTAATGGTATTCTCGGTTTCGAGATAAAATCATGATTTTAACAGTCATACTTCAGTGGAGCAAATGATGAATTTGCCTATTTACGATGTAAATTCAGCTTTGATCTAAAATATTATCATTACGGCAACATGTTTAAATCTACATATAAAACTATTTTCTTCTGTACAGTGTCATTAACGGTTAAATGAGCCGAGCTGTCGGTGTTGGTCACTCGACTGTTAATTAATTATAGTACCTCTATAGAGTATGTTCCGTAAACATTTGGATTTATGTAATACCATGTTAGTGTCACGTTAGTATCATGTAAGTACCATGTTAATTTCACGTTAGTATCATGTTAGTATCATGTTAGTATCATGTAAGTACCATGTTAATTTCACGTTAGTATCACAATAATATCATGTTAGTGTCATGTTAGTATCACGTTAATATCACGTTAGTATCATGTTAGTATCATGTTAGTATCACGTTAGTATCATGTTAGTGTCACGTTATTATCATGTTAGTATCATGCTAGTGTCACGTTAGTATCATGTTAGTATCATGCTAGTGTCACGTTAGTATCATGTTAGTATCATGTTGGTATCATGTAAGTACCATGTTAATTTCACGTTAGTATCATGTTAGTATCATGTTAGTATCATGTAAGTACCATGTTAATTTCACGTTAGTATCACGTTAATATCATGTTAGAATCACGTAAGTATCATGTGAGTATCATGTTAGTATCATGTTAGTATCATGTTAGTACCATGTTAGTGTCATGTAAGTATCATGTAAGTACCATGTTAGTGTCACGTTAGTACCATGTTAGTGTCATGTAAGTACCATGTTAGTGTCACGTTAGTATCATGTAAGTATCATGTTAGTATCCCGTAAGTATCATGTTAGTATCATGTTAGTATCATGTTAGTACCATGTTAGTGTCATGTAAGTATCATGTAAGTACCATGTTAGTGTCACGTTAGTATCATGTTAGTATCATGCTAGTGTCACGTTAGTATCATGTTAGTATCATGTTGGTATCATGTAAGTACCATGTTAATTTCACGTTAGTATCACGTTAATATCATGTTAGAATCACGTAAGTATCATGTGAGTATCATGTTAGTATCATGTTAGTATCATGTTAGTATCATGTAAGTGCCATGTTAATTTCACGTTAGTATCACGTTAATATCATGTTAGAATCACGTAAGTATCATGTGAGTATCATGTTAGTATCATGTTAGTATCATGTAAGTGCCATGTTAATTTCACGTTAGTATCACGTTAATATCATGTTAGAATCACGTAAGTATCATGTGAGTATCATGTTAGTATCATGTTAGTATCATGTAAGTACCATGTTAATTTCACGTTAGTATCATGTTAGTATCATGTTAGTGTCATGTTAGTATCATGTTAGTGTCACGTTAGTATCTCGTAAGTATCATGTAAGTATCATGTTAGTATCATGTTAGTATCATGTTATTATTACGTTTGTATCACGCTAGTATCATGTATCATGTTAGTATCACGTTAGTATCATGTTAGTGTCACGTTAGTATCATGTTAGTATCATGTAAGTATCATGTTAGTACCATGTTAGTGTCATGTAAGTATCTGTTAGTTTCACGTTAGTATCATGTTAGTACCATGTTAGTATAATGTAAGTATCACGTTAGTATCATGTAAGTATCATGTTAGTATCACGTTAGTATCATGTTAGTGTCACGTTAGTATCATGTTAGTATCATGTTAGTGTCACGTTAGTATCATGTAAGTATCATGTTAGTATCATGTTAGTATCATGTTAGTATCATGGTATTATCACGTTTTTATCACGTTTGTATCACGTTTGTATCACGTTTATATCACGTTAGTATCATGATAGTATCATGTAAGTATCATGTAAGTTTCATGTTTGTATCACGTTAGTATCATGTTAGTATCATGTTAGTATCACGTTAGTGTCACGTTTGTATCAAGTTTGTATCACGTTAGTATCATGTTGGTATCACGTTAGTGTCACGTTTGTACCACGTTTGTATCACGTTTGTATCACGTTAGTATTATGATTGTATCATGTAAGTATCATGTTAGTATCATGTAAGTATCACGTTAGTACCATCGTATTATCATGTAAGTATCACGTTAGTATCATGTAAGTATCATGTAAGTATCATGTTAGTATCATGATAGTATCACGTTAGTATCATGTAAGTATCATGTACGTATCATGTTAGTATCATGTAAGTATCATGGTATTATCACGTTTGTATCACGTTTGTATCACGTCAGTATCATGATAGTATCACGTTAGTATCATGTAAGTATCATGTAAGTATCATGTTAGTATCATGATAGTATCATGTTAGTATCATGATAGTATCATGTTACTATCATGTAAGTATCATGTTAGTATCATGATAGTATCATGTTACTATCATGTAAGTATCATGTTAGTATCATGTTAGTATCACGTTAGTGTCACGTTTGTATCACGTTTGTATCACGTTAGTATCATGTTAGTATCATGATGATATCACGTTAGTATCATGTTAGTATCATGTTAGTATCATGTTAGTATCACGTTAGTTTCACGTTTGTATCCTGTTTGTATCACGTTTGTATCATGTTAGTATCATGTAAGTATCACGTTAGTGTCACGTTTGTATCACGTTTGTATCACGTTTATATCACGTTAGTATCATGATAGTATCATGTTTGTATCACGTTAGTATCATGATAGTATCACGTAAGAATCATGTTAGTATCATGTTAGTATCACGTTAGTATTATGGCATTATCATGTAAGTATGACGTTAGTATCACGTTTGTATCACGTAAGTATCATGTAAGTATCATGTAAGTATCATGTAAGTATCACGTTAGTATCATGTAAGTATCATGTAAGGATCATGTTTGTATCACGTTTGTATCACGTTTGTATCACGTTAGTATCATGATAGTATCACGTTAATAACATGTAAGTATCATGTAAGTATCATGTTAGTATCATGTAAGTATCATGGTATTATCACGTTTGTTTCACGTTTGTATCATGTTTGTATCATGATAATATCATGTAAGTATCATGATAGTATCACGTTAGTATCATGTTAGTATCATGATAGTATCACGTTAGTATCATGTTAGTATCACGTTAGTATCATGTTATTATCACGTTACTATCATGTTATTATCACGTTTGTATCACGTTAGTATTATGTTAGTTTCATGTTAGTTTCATGAAAGTATCACGTAAGCATCAAGTTATAATCATGTTAGTACATTATCACGTTAGTGTCACGTTAGTATCATGTTTAGAATGTTAAAATCATGTTGGTATCTTCTTAGTATCTTGTTGGTATCATCTAAGTATCATGTTGGTATCATGTTAGTTTCACGTTAGTGTCATGTAAATATGATGTTAGTTTCACTTTAGTATCACTTAAGGATCATGTTAGTATGATGTTATATCACGTTGGTATCACAATTGTATCATGTACGTATTAACTTAGTTTTATGGTGGTATCACACTTATTTCATGTTAATATCATGTTAGTTTTATTTCAATATTATGTTTGTATCAAGTTAAGTTCATGTAAATATCAATTTAGTAGCGTTAAAGTAACAAGTGAGTATGACGTTAGTGTCGTGTGACATTGTTGTATTTTATTATCAGATTGATATCACTTAGTTTCATGTAAGTATCATGTTAGAGTAAGTATCATATTAATATCACGTTAATATCAAGTTCAATTCACATTATCATCATGAAGGTATCAATTTAGTAGCATGTTAGTACTACATTAGTATCACGTTAGCATCACGTTAGTATCAAGTGAGAAATATGTAAGTATAATGTTAGTTTCAAGTAAGTATCATTTGAGTATTTTATAAGTATCGAATTAGTATCATGTTAATATCACGTTACTATCATGTTAGTATCAAATTAGTATCATTTGAGTATCATGTAAGTATCAAGTTAGTATCAGTTGAGTATCATGTTAATATAAAGTTAGTATCATTTGAGTATCATGAAGGTAGAACGTTAGTATTACGTTAATATCACGTTAGCATCATGTTAATCTCACGTTAGTATTATGTTAGTATCAATTTAGTATAATTTGAATAGTATATTAGTATCTTGTAAGTATCACGTTAATTTCAAGTTAGTATCATTTGAGTATCATGAAAGTAGAACGTTAGTATTACATTAGTATCAAGTTAGTATTATGTATCGTGTAAGCATCATGTTAATATCAGATGTTGTTAAATTTCAGAAGCAAACATTTTGATGTTTTGAAATATTGGAATATAAAATTGAAATATCGTTTGGTATTTGTGTTATATTTTACGACGTGAACACAAGTCAAATAGATAGGGTACTTAAACAAAATTTATGTAATTATAAAATATAAATTTGAGCAGAAAACCAGTAATTGTAGTATGTGTCGACTGTTCATTACCATGTTATTTGACGTAAACCATTTACACGCCTACATACAGATCACTGTAAGCCAATATGTCCGTGTCTTATGGATGGTATCTATCATGACCACGGGGACGAGTGGACACAGAAAGGCGAACCATGTATAAGATACAAGTGTGAAGATGGATTTTATCAGCCAATTTACCAAGGTAAGGTGAACGTGTTTGTATTTTATGTAAAACACTGTTATATCACATGTTCATCATCGTATAGTTCCATGGGTACCTGTCTTAAATCAACCCTAACGCGGGATTATAACATGTAAGGCATTGTGCATTTCTCCATTTTTTTGGTAGCATCGGCTTTTCGCAATTGACCAGCAGAATTCGTTGACCGTCTGCGATCACTAGCCCTCCACCAGCTGAGGTCTATTGTAGATCGAGTAACACTAGTGAGGGACAATCACTATTGTAAATCAGGTGACACTAGTTGGGGACAAACACTATTGTAGATCGGGTAACACTAGTTGGGGACAACCACTATTGTAGATCGGGTAACACTAGGGGGGACAACCACTATTGTAGATCGAGTAACACTAGTGGGGGACAACCACTATTGTAGATAGGGTAACATTAGTGGGGGAAAACCACTATTGTATATGGGGTAACATTATTGGGAGACAACCACTATTGTAGATGGGGTAACACTAATGGGTGACAACCACTATTGTAGATCGGGTTACAATAGTGGGGAACAATCACTATTGTAGATCGTGTAACACTAGTGGGGGAAAACTACTATTGTAGATCGAGTAACACTAGTGGGGGACAGCCACTATTGTAGATTGGGTAACACTATTGGAGGACAACCACTACTGTAGATCGGGTAATACTATAGGGGGACAACCACTATTGTAGATCAAGTAACACTAGTGGGAGACAACCATTATTGTAGATCGGTTAACACTAGTGGAGGGCAACCACTATTGTATATCGAGTAACACTAGTATGTGACAACCACTATTGTAGATCGGGTAATACTATTGATGAACAATCACTATTGTAGATCGTGTAACAATATTGGGGGACAACCACTATTGTATATGGGGTAATACTATTGGGGGACAACCACTATTGTAGATAGATCTGGTAACACTAGTGGAGACAACCACTATTGTAGATCAGGTAACACTGGTATGTGACAACCACTATTGTAGATCGGGTACACTAGTGGGGGACAATGACTATTGTAGGTCGAGTTACACTATGTGGGGACAACCACTATTTTAGATCGGGTAACACTAGGGGGGACAACCACTAATGTAAAAAGGGTAACATTAGTGGGGGGACAACCACTATTGTAGATAGGGTAAGATTAGTGAGGGGCAACCACTGTTGTAGATGGGGTAACATTATTGGGAGACAACCACTTTTGTAGATGGGGTAACAATAGTGGGGAACAACCACTATTGTAGATCGAGTAACACTAGTGGGGGACAACCACTAATGTAAAAAGGGTAACATTAGTGGGGGACAACCACTATTGTAGATAGGGTAACACTAGGGGGGGGACAACCACTAATGTAAAAAGGGTAGCATTAGTGGGGGACAGCCACTATTGTAGATAGGGTAAGATTAGTGGGGGGACAACCATTATTGTAGATAGGGTAAGATTAGTGGGGGACCACCACTATTGTAGATAGGGTAACATTAGTGGGGGACAACCACTATTGTAGATAGGGTAACATTAGTGGGGGACAACCACTATTGTAGATAGGGTAACATAAGTGGGGGACAACCACTATTGTAGATAGGGTAACATTATTGGGAGACAAACACTATTGTAGATAGGGTAACACTATCGGGAGACAACCACTATTATAGATAGGGTAACACTATCGGGAGACAACCACAACGGTGAAAATGAATCCATCATTATAACAGTAACTCTTATAAGAGTTACAATACTGATTTCATCTACATCAGCTAGTACAATCGCGATACGCTAGTGGGTGGAATTACAAAAATGGATGTTACAGTGTGTTTCTTTTTATTAGACAAGCTTATTCCAAAGACTTATATACTCATAGGCCGATAATACATCATGGGTTGGTTATATAGCCGGTACATCACTAGTTACAAGAGTATATACTCAACTCCTAAGTTTTATTAGACAAGCTTAATCCAAAGACTTATATACTCATAGCCCGATAATACATCATAGGTTGGCTATATAGCAGGTACATCACTAGTTAAAAGAGTATATACTCAACTCCTAAGTTTTATTAGACAAGCTTATTCCAAAGACTTATATCCTCATAGGCCGATAATACATCATAGGTTGGTTATATAGCCGGTACACCACTAGGTACAAAAGTATATAATCAACTCCGAAGACTGATATACTCAAAGGCCGATAATACATCATAGGTTGGTTATATAGCCGGTATATCACTAGTTACAAAAGTATATACTCAACTCCTAAGACTTATATACTCATAGGCCGATAATACATCATGGGTTGGTTATATAGCCGGTACATCACTAGCTACAAAAGTTTATTCTCAACTCCTAGGACTGATGTACGCAAAGGCCGATAACACATCATAGGTTGGTTATATAGCCGGTACACCACTAGGTACAAAAGTATATAATCAACTCCTAAGACTGATATACTCATATGCCGATAATACATCATAGGTTGGTTAAATAGCCGGTAAACCACTAGCCAAAAGAGTATATTTCTTACTTCCATTATCAGGTGTTGCATTATGTAAACAACATACACATTCCACCTTTTGTAAATATAATACATCATAGGTTGGTTATATAGACGGTACATCACTAGTTACAAAAGTTTATTCTCAGCTCCTAAGACTGATGTACGCAAAGGCCAATAATTCATCATAGGTTGGTTATATAGCCGGTACACCACTAGGTACAAAAGTATATAATCACCTCCGAAGACTGATATACTCAAAGGCCGATAATAAATCATAGGTTGGTTATATAGCCGGTACAGCACTAGTTACAAAAGTTTATTCTCAGCTCCTAAGACTGATGTACGCAAAGGCCAATAATTCATCATAGGTTGGTTATATAGCCGGTATATCACTAGTTACAAAAGTATATACTCAACTCCTAAGACTGATATACTCACAGGCCGATAATACATCATAGGTTGGTTAAATAGCCGGTAAACCACTAGCCAAAAGAGTATATTTCTTACTTCCATTATCAGGTGTTGCATTATGTAAACAACATACACATTCCACCTTTTGTAAATATAATACATCATAGGTTGGTTATATAGCCTGTACACAACTAGGTACAAAAGTATATAATCAACTCCTAAGACTGATATACTCAAAGGCCGATAATAAATCATAGGTTGGTTATATAGCCGGTACACCACTAGGTACAAAAGTATATAATCAACTCCTAAGACTGATATACTCACAGGCCGATAATACATCATAGGTTGGGTATATAGCCGGTACATCACTAGTTACAAAAGTATATACTCAACTCCTAAGACTTATATACTCATAGGCCGATAATACATCATGGGTTGGTTATATAGCCGGTACATCATTAGTTACACGAGTATATACTCAACTCCTAAGACTGATATACTCATATGCCGATAATACATCATAGGTTGGTTAAATAGCCGGTAAACCACTAGCCAAAAGAGTATATTTCTTACTTCCATTATCAGGTGTTGCATTACTCATAGGCCGATAATACATCATGGGTTGGTTATATAGCCGGTACATCATTAGTTACAAGAGGATATACTCAACTCCTAAGACTGATATACTCACAGGCCGATAATACATCATAGGTTGGCTATATAGCCGGTACATCACTAGTTACAAAAGTATATACTCAACTCCTAAGACTTATATACTCATAGGCCGATAATACATCATAGGTTGGTTAAATAGCCGGTAAACCACTAGCCAAAAGAGTATATTTCTTACTTCCATTATCAGGTGTTGCATTACTCATAGGCCGATAATACATCATGGGTTGGTTATATAGCCGGTACATCATTAGTTACACGAGTATATACTCAACTCCTAAGACTGATATACTCACAGGCCGATAATACATCATAGGTTGGCTATATAGCCGATACATCACTAGTTACAAAAGTTTATTCTCGACTCCTAAGACTGATGTCCGCAAAGGCCGATAATACATCATAGGTTGGGTATATAGCCGGTACATCACTAGTTACAAAAGTATACAATCAACTCCTAAGACTGATGTACGCAAAGGCCAATAATTCATCATAGGTTGGTTATATAGCCGGTACATCACTAGTTACAAAAGTATATAATCAACTCCTAAGACTGATATACTCATAGGTCGATAATACATCATAGGTTGGTTATATAGCCTGTACACAACTAGGTACAAAAGTATATAATCAACTCCTAAGACTGATATACTCATATGCCGATAATACATCATAGGTTGGTTAAATAGCCGGTAAACCACTAGCCAAAAGAGTATATTTCTTACTTCCATTATCAGGTGTTGCATTACTCATAGGCCGATAATACATCATGGGTTGGTTATATAGCCGGTACATCACTAGCTACAAAAGTTTATTCTCAACTCCTAAGACTGGTGTACGCAAAGGCCGATAATACATCATAGGTTGGTTAAATAGCCGGTAAACCACTAGCCAAAAGAGTATATTTCTTACTTCCATTATCAGGTGTTGCATTACTCATAGGCCGATAATACATCATGGGTTGGTTATATAGCCGGTACATCATTAGTTACACGAGTATATACTCAACTCCTAAGACTGATATACTCATATGCCGATAATACATCATAGGTTGGTTATATAGCCTGTACACAACTAGGTACAAAAGTATATAATCAACTCCTAAGACTGATATACTCAAAGGCCGATAATACATCATAGGTTGGGTATATAGCCGGTACATCACTAGTTACAAGAGTATATACTCAACTCCTAAGAATGATATACTCATAGGCCGATAATACACCATAGGTTGGTTATATAGCCGGTACATCACTAGTTACAAAAGTTTATTCTCAACTCCTAAGACTGATGTACGCAAAGGCCGATAATACATCATAGGTTGGTTATATAGCCGGTACATCACTAGTTACAA